TACAAGAAAAACACTCTGTATGCCCTTTCATGCTTAGGACAAGATAATGACCTAAAAACCTAAAATGATACATTGGTTTAATAGATGTAGGAGGATTACTGTTAAAATAAAATAATTATTAATCCATGTATGGATCCTAGGTAATTTTTAAAGAAAAAAAAATTTTAAACCATTATTGTGTTTTGAAAACATAGTTTGAACCATTATTAGACTTCTCTTGAGCAATATTCTTTAGTGCTTAAGAGGACAAATTTTTTGCTTAATTTTAGGCTTAAAAAACTAGTATGAACCATCTTATGTTTGCTTGCCTTTGTTAAAACAGTCTTTTTATGACTTAGGGAAGAAATGGGAAAAGACCAAATGGAAGAGTAGCAGGAAACGCCCTTGAGGCCACTCAAGCGGTCTTAGAGGTTGCTCAAACAGTCCCAAGGTCGCTTAAGCAGTCTGCTTTTCTTAGGTCAATTTGAAATTTATTTTTCATTCCCGAGACTATCGTCCTCTCGTTGCTTGATCGATCGTTTACAAATTTAAGTTTTTTTGTTGATCAAGATTGCCTTTATTTCGAGCCTACAAATAGAGAATGTCTTTCTCAAATTAAGGTATCTCTTTTGTAAGCTAAATTCTTGTCTCTTATACCTTAGCTATCACACCACAATCCTAAATCCCAAAACTCAAGGCTACAATCTTGTGATTCTCATCCAACTTCACAACTTAGAGAAGACAAACTTCCTTGGTCGAAGAGGATTATTGAAGGAAGAGAACATCTAATCATAGTATTGGTTGATGTATAAAACTTGAATACTTGTAAGCTGATTTTGACGTAGTGGATTAAATTTTGGTGAACCAAGAAGATTTTTCACGTTTTTTTTTTGGGGAAGGTTTCCCAAGTCATCAAATCACTTGCATTTTTTATCAAACTATCATACACACTTGTGATTTAATGCACACACGAGCATTATGTGATTGATTGAATGTTTGATTAAATATCATAATCACTCATAGTTATGCATCCAAGTGTTTGAGTTATTGGGTTGGGATCTCCAGAAGAAATTGAGTATTTAGCAGTTAAGTGCTAAAATCAATACATTAATCTTCATCAGTTTATGGGGTCGTGGTTAAAAAGGGGGGGGGGGGGGGGGTTCTCATTATTAATTGACTAATTCTCAAAAATTGTTAGCAATTTGGATGTCGTTTATTTGAGGACCCATATAAGAATACTAATTATTGTCTATGCTTGAAAGTACAAAGTAATAAAAAATGGTAAACAATAAACATATTTATATTCATATCCAAAATCAAATCACAAACATACAAAAGAAATAAAGGAATTTAAGCATCGATTTATAGTGGGGGGGAGAGGTGATGGGCGACAGTGGTGGTGGTAGAAAACGATGATAGTTGTGGTAGGTTACAATAACCATGGTGGCGGCGAGGTCGGTGGTGGTGGTGGCGGCGGTGATGATAATGACAATGGCAGTGGTGACAGCGGCAATGACAATGACGGTGACAGTAGTGGGCTTGGCGGTGGCGGCAGCGATGACGGTGGGGGGTGGCGGTGGTGGTGGTTGTAGTGGCAGTGATGGCAATGGTAGCGGTGGTGGTGGTAGAAGTAATGGAACAGTTTTAAACACTATTTTTTTTTAAGTATTTATGAGAAATAATTTTTAAAAATACTTTTAAAAAGTCACTCTAAACACACTATTTGAGCCTATTTTTTTATTAAATTTAGGGCTTGGCGGTGGCGGCGACGGTAGTGGTGGTGGTGGCAGCAGCGATAACGGTGGGGGGTGGCGGTGGTGGTGGTTGTAGTGGCAGTGACGGCGATGGTGGCGGTGGCGGTGGCGGTGGTGGTGGTAGAAGTAATGGAACAGTTTCAAACACTATTTTTTTTTAAATATTTATGAGAAATAATTTTTAAAAATATTTTTAAAAAGTCACTCTAAACACACTATTTGAGCCTATTTTTTCTATTAAATTCAGGGCGGCGGTGGTGGCGACAGCGGCAGCAACAACGGCGGTTGTGGTGGTGGTGGTGGTGGCAGTGGCGGTGGTGGTAGAAGTAATGGTGGAGCAGTTTCAAACACTATTTATTTTTAAAGTATTTATAAGAAATAATTTCTAAAAATATTTTCACTATAAACACACCCTTACGGGCCTATTTTTCATATTAAATTTAGGGTGTTAATATTAGCCGTTAAATTAACTTTAAAATAAAATTTAAATCAATTTGAACCGCGAATAGTAAAAGTTATTTTATTTATTTTTTGAAATTTGAATTGTAAGCTACTCCCTCCGTTTCTAAATATCTTTCGTTTAATAAAATCAAAATATAATTAATATTTTTTCTTCCAAATTTATCTTTAACTTTTTAATGCATTAGATTAAGTAGAGGTTAAGTGTCTTTCATATTTCTTTCATTCCCAATACGTATTGAGTAAGGGTATTTTAGTTTTACATTATTATTTTTTACTCATATTACTACTATTTAATAGCTTCTTTAATTTTTATGAAAAAATTTTAAACGACAGATATTTAAAAAATGAGAGAATATTTTTTTATATAGATATTCAATGCTTCAAGAATTAAAATGATTCAATTAAAATATTAAAGACTAAATGAGACAAATTCTATATTTTGGAGACATCCTATGCAATTAACCCTAAAACTTATCACATTTTGGGATTTTTTATTTTTCAAATTGATAATGAAAAATGAAATTCGGTATTATAGTATTCTACATACCTTGGATATATACATACAGAGTTGTACTTTAGAAAGTATATGTACATGTACCTACATTTATGGAGAGAGAGGGGGGGGTATTGAAGAGTTTGATATGACAAGTCATGCGTCAAATCGGAGCACTTCAAATCATAAGACAGGCAATGATGTGTTGTCAATCGATGGGATTTTTGAAGGGGGCAAAACAACAGACTCTTCTCTCCTCTCCTTAGACACAACACACTGCTTATTATCAGATCACTTCTACTAGTAACAGTTTCCTTACCCTTTTAGCACGTGTCAAGTCTTGTCTCACGTGCACGACAGTCCAAATCCAATGGGACTCAAGTTGGCACGAGTTCCAATATCACCCCCCAAGACACGGCCGACACCCTTCTCCATGCCATACATACATAAAACCCTTTTTTTCCTGTTTGCTTTTTTTATTTCCTATTTTTTTGGTAAGGAAAAACAAATTTTATTATTTACAATAAAAAATTTCAATGACTCGATATGAAAGACAACCAGCCTGTTTTGGAGCAGGCATAACTAAGAATTTATCCATTAGAATACCCAACGGCTTGTGATCGGGATTTAGAGGCCGCTGGCGTAGTTTTATAGTTATTTACGGATCATCAATTGAGAAAGGATCTCGAAAAGAAAGGCAATTGGTGAGGTTTTGTTCACCCTGCTCGGCCTAGAAACAATATAGATAGGAAGGTTCATCGTCTTTGGGTCCAAGACAAAGAGAATCCAGAAGAAAGGTCTTATACCTATCACTGATAAGCTCTGATTCGAGTTTCGATCCAATTCCACGTGGAGACTCGATTACAAAACATTTCCAAGTTAGTTAAATGTAGAAGTATTAGTTGAAAATCAATACAAACATTTATCTTTCGAAAAAACAAAAAAAAGTGAAAGTTTAGACTAATTAGAATGGACGAAAGGTACTATTAAATTAGACAGAGAGCCAATACTACTTACTAGAGCACATACAAGCACCAACAAGAGTCGGTATTTTCCTTTCATCGTAAGCTCAAAGAGTATGATATAACGTCGAAAAAAATTAGGGTGAAATCACACCAATGTCTAACTTTATCATTAAAAGCTGTATTTTTTGTACTCTTTCTTAGATCTTGAGCACTTTGCAATTGTTTATCAACAATAATAAAGCTCAAACTAATATTGAAAAATGTAATCAGAACCCTTATAGAGTAATTAGTTTAAGTATTCACAAGTGATTTTAGGGAATAAGAGGGGATGGTGGTTGAAAACTGTTGGCTAGTAGTAAAAAAAAAGAAAAGAAAAAACAAAGGAGAATGGTCGCAATCCTATTATTTGTGCAAAATCAGACTGTAAACTGCTTAAATATTATGTTAACAATAAAAATGTCTATGGTACTACCTTATTAAAATTAATTAGGGCTGTAGATCATAGTTTAATAAATTTGCATCTATTAAAAATAAAAATAATACAGTAGAATAAAATAAAAAAGTTTTACATGTAAAAATAAGGTTTCTAGTAAGAACAATTAGTAAAATGTTTAGGTCACAGTCATTTTTCAGATTTGAAATCTCGTTAGAAGAGTAATGCTACCTAATCATCTCTCTGACCTACTCCACTGATATCACAATGATTCAACTATATAGCAGTGAATTAAGTTAATAAATTAGAATAAATAATCAACTTAAAAATTATTATTATTTTTTTATTTTGGCCGATTGAAGATTATGAAATACAAGTAGTCTTCATTAATTCTTTCTTCCAACACCCATTTGGATAAAAATTTATCAATGAGTATTATTATTAGGGTTTAAATTAAGGACTTAATGTCAAAACCTAATGCATTATAAGCTTTAGATAAGTTGTGATCTCAATATTAAATAAAATTCACTATTAATTCAATTCAATGACCATAAATTTTCAAATTAGATCTATAAAATGAATATTACTAATATATTATATTGTTTATCAAAATGCCACCAAATAACACATGATAGGTTCAGGCCTAAATTCTTCTATTCCCCTCACACTACTTCCTAGAAAAATCCACTTATTGCTTAAGTAACCATTCTTGGGCCAACCATGTGAACATCATCTAATCAAATTCCAATTTTATTATTTATACCCCTATTTTTCTTCCAATCTTCATTAATGTATACATGATTTTCATTTATTTTATGCATTGTTTCTTTTTAAAATAGCTCAGCCGCCCAGAATAGCCACCCAAATTGCGCTCTCTCTCTCTCTCTCTCTCTCCCCTCAAAATATCTAACTACACACCACCATCGAGAGAATCTCTCACAAAACATAACTGTACAACATCAAAGAGTAGAAGAAGAGAAATGAAAGCACCAAGCTTTTCCTCTCTTTTCCCCTTCCTCCTCCTGTCCTCCGTCTCCTCTTAATCTTCACCTCCACCACCCATCCATCATCAACATCTATATATAAAATCATCTCTCTCTCTCGCTCTCTCTCCAATCAACCATGTCCCTTGATGACTCCTTAAGATCTCTCTCTCTAGACTACCTCAACCTCCTCATCAACGGCCAAGCGTTCAGTGATGTAACTTTCAGTGTAGAGGGTCGTCTTGTCCATGCCCACCGATGCATCCTAGCAGCTAGGAGCCTCTTCTTCAGGAAATTCTTCTGTGGACCGGACACACCGACCGGTATCGACCCCACCGGCTCGAGGATGGGACCGGTCGGAGGGTTGGCTTCGTCCCCTAGGGGTTCGAATTCGCAGGTGATACCAGTGAATTCAGTGGGCTATGAGGTGTTCTTGTTGATGTTGCAATTTTTGTATAGTGGGCAGGTCTCAATAGTTCCTCAGAAGCATGAGCCCAGGACTAATTGTGGTGAGAGAGGGTGTTGGCACACACATTGCACCTCAGCCGTTGATCTTGCTCTGGACACTCTTGCTGCCGCTAGATCCTTTGGAGTGGAACAGCTCGCATTGCTCACTCAGGTTTCCTTGTTTTCAAGCCCAAGTTCTTTCTCTCTCTCTCTCTCTCTCTCTCTCTCTAGATTAGTGAGTATTCTAGCAATTTGTTTGTGGGTTTTGGTTATGTGGACAATAACTGGATTTGGTTTTGGGGAAGTGGGATAAGATTTTTAAGGTGGGTTTTTGTTTTTCTTTATTTTTTTTCGGTAACAAATTCTTTTAGAAGTTTATTATCAGGTGATCAAGTGGGTGTGCTGATTTTGTTTTGCCAGAAATTAACTTATTGTACATAATTCAAAGTTTCAAACTTCTGTTTTTGAAGTGGTTGGATTTGATCTCACAGAGATATCTTGTACTTCGCTTTTTTGCAACTAGATTTCTTCTTTCCAGTTTCTTTTGCAGCACTTGATCTAATTATGGTTTCAGTCTTCCTAGATTCAGTCTCTTACAGCTGATAAAACAGATTTCTTTGCTTCCTTATATATACATATTTTCAATTTTCTTTTTGGTTTTTTAGTTTCTGGGTACAATATTGCAGTTATTTATGTCACATGAGAAGTTCTATATTGATTTCATGTAACATTTCCAGTTTCTTGAATTGGGCTTTGTTATCTTTATGCTTCATAGCCAAGACTTGCCAAATTTGGATCTTGATCCCTAGTCTTGTCTTCCACAGTGATTACACCAAATCTTTCCCAAATAATCTACTTTCCTCATTTGGTTTCAGACTCTAAAAACAAAGAAACTATTAATGTAAGATGTATACAGTCTATCCTCCCTAATCATTTATACTTTGCCCAAACGCAACATATTAATAGAGTCTATTAGTCTTCCACTCCTAGATGAGTGAGATATAGGCAGTCTTACCTCAGTAGAGCAAGAGCCAGTTTCTCCAAACACAGCATCACCTACCCAACGAAAACTTTGAGAACATCTATCAAATGTTTGTAGACATATGTTCACTGATATTCTTTCCTCACATTTTGTGTTGCAGAAGCAATTGGCAAGCATGGTAGAGAAGGCCTCAATTGAGGATGTAATGAAGGTTTTGATAGCTTCAAGAAAGCAAGACATGCACCAACTTTGGACTACTTGTTCCCATTTGGTTGCAAAGTCTGGCCTCCCAGCAGACATCCTAGCCAAGCACCTTCCCATTGATGTTGTAGCCAAGATCGAAGAGCTCCGCCTCAAATCCTCCCTCGCCCGCCGTTCCCTTATGCCACACCACCACCAACACCACGACCTCACGGCTGCCGCTGACCTCGAGGACCAGAAAATTCGACGAATGAGAAGAGCTCTTGACTCATCTGATGTTGAACTTGTCAAGCTTATGGTAATGGGTGAAGGGCTTAATCTTGACGAGGCATTGGCCTTGCATTATGCGGTTGAGAATTGTAGCCGAGAAGTTGTTAAGGCCTTGCTTGAGCTTGGTGCAGCTGATGTTAACTACCCAGCCGGGCCAGCCGGTAAAACTCCCCTCCACATTTCGGCGGAGATGGTGTCGCCGGACATGGTGGCGGTCCTCCTGGACCACCATGCCGACCCAAATGTCCGAACGGTCGATGGAATTACTCCTCTAGATGTGCTCCGAACCCTAACTTCTGATTTTCTATTCAAAGGGGCTGTCCCGGGGTTAACCCACATTGAGCCAAACAAGCTCAGACTCTGTCTTGAGCTTGTTCAATCGGCGGCTATGGTGATTTCTCGTGAGGAAGGCAATGCAAATGCTCCTTCTTCCACCAGTATCTACCCTCCTATGGATGAAGATCACCATAGCAGTTCTAGCAGTGGAAACATGGGTAATCTTAACCTTGATTCAAGAATGGTTTATCTCAATCTTGGTGCAGTAGCTTCCACCCACATGGGTTGTAACAAGATGAATGAGAGAGATGATAATAGCAACAATAGCCAGAGGGAAGCCATGAATCGACAAGGTGGCTGTGACCCATCCATGTACCACCACCACTCTCATGAGTATTAGCTCAATTATATTTATCTATCACCTTCTATATTTATTGGGTATATATCCATGAAGTGGAAAAACACAAGCAGAAGTTCATCAGATGGAGATTGATGTTGGGTTATATATGATCTTTTGGTCATTTCTTCATTTGTTATTTTTCGCCCTTGTTCTGTGGTGGGTTTCTTTGATTTTTCTAGGGCTTTCAGTGATGATCATGCTCATGGGATGGGATGGAACCTGGAGAATCTAAGTTTTGCTCTGGATGATGGACAGGACACAGGTCAATCTTTTCAACCCCGGCCTGTCAACTCCTTTTGTATTTACTGGTATTTGTAATGTTGTGGCATTTTTTAGTGACCTATTATTTCTTGTCCCCCGATTAAGGCACCCACCTCTCATGACACCTATGATCATGATATATAAATATATATAGTGTATTAATATTTATAATGATTACACAATAAAAATATGTACATACATATTTTATCTCCCATACATATGCATGTACATGAACATATTCTTCTTCATTTTCGTTTTTTTTTTTGGGAGGGCCTAAATACATGAACATATCCAAGAAGGGATGTTTCTGGTGTCTTGTGCTGGTGGGGTTACCTGGATTTTTTTGAGGCTTTGTTTGGACGTGAGACTTTTTTATTCTGATGAGGGACATGAGCTGTCTATGCTCTTCTACTTATTTTTTTTTGTTGCTTTCATGGGTGGTCGGAGAAGTTTGATTGGCTTTACCAATGTCAAATTTGATTAATATTATATGATCTGCCAATGGGCAGATTGAATGGTTGTCCTGCATGAACGCAACATTTGAGTGTGACCAGACGTCAGCTTATTATATTTCCGGAATATACAAATTCTGGATTGCTTTCCTGTACCTCTTTTTTGTCCCACCCTTTTGCCCTTTTCTGAGCTTTTTCACAAGCATAAATTTTACAAATGAAACCCTAGATTTTGATTACACTTTCCTAAATATATCACTAGCTATGACATTTGTCTATTATCCTTGAGCTCATGTTGTTTAATTTTCTACATTTGCATCGATTATTTCTGTTCTCTGACTTTCTTCTCATGTTTCATGGGATCAGTTTAAGGTTTTAGACTAAAGGGATAAAATAATCTATGAATTTTTTTTTATCTTAATATACAGTTTTAGCTTTTGAATTTCCTTGATATTCATTTCTGGAAAGTTTACTTGATATTCATTTAGAGAAAGAAAGGTCCTCAATGGAGAAACGATTACGCATTTTTTTTTCTTTTCTTATAAAATGAATATGGATCAAAATATTTCACTGTCGATTAATAGAATTATTACTGGATAGTTTCTCAACTCGCAGTGTATAGTATATAAGAATTGTTGATGCGAAATCTTATATGAAACTTCCTTTTTGGAAGAAGGAAAAATATATCTTAGGGTCTAATGTTCATGGAGTCATAATGTGTCTCCACGGTTCAATGTTTTTTGATCATGCTTCGTCGATACATACACACCCATGGGCGTTATCATAGTCTTATGATTCCTATATGAATACGAGCTTCCTAAAACTTTAATTCAATTAATTTTTTTAAATTGTACATGAGTACAATTGTATTAATAAATATCTAAATTTGTCATCAGCATGTTTTTCTCCACGAAGATTGAGAACAAAATGGGGAATTTTGGGTGGACCATTTGTTGATTGATTGGACACTAGATTGCAATCAAATTAGGCTTCATATTCAAGGATAGTGCAATCAGAATCTATTCGTTGTTCACATTTTTCTTTTTAGCCCTTGAGAAGTTCCAAGTTTCCTTTCTTTCTTTCTTCTTACTCAAGTTAGTAGCACTTTGAGATAGTTCATCTCACACAAGATTATACAACACTTGTTAATTATATCTTCTATTTTTCTTCCCTGCATGCCTAGAAGTAAGTTTTAAATATTGGGAGAAAATCAAATGTCAGTGTTCTCATCAATTCTCGATTAAATTAGAATCCTAATGTCAATTTGCAGCATTGACCATTGTTTAAAAGACAAACTTAAACAAGGATGTGATATCTTTGGTTCTATTTCTGTCTTCGTTCGGGAGTTTTTTGGGAAGAGAGTGGAGGAAGATGGGATTATGAAGTAATGAAGCTCTGAAGAATGAATGTCGTTGCTATTTATATAATGATCTCCTATTGAGAATTCTTTTGTTTGACCTACTTGCTTGTTTAGGTAGTCCATCTGGTAGATTAAGGAAAATAAACATTTTGCATGCTGGTGGAATGGTGGTTATAGAATTCTAGCACTTCTTTCATGAGCATTTGATTGAATAGCACAGTAACCAATCATCACATGGTGAATTATGTGTATCGTATAAGATAAACATGAAATATTAATACCATATATGCTTCAGCTTGGTATCTAATCTAGAGAGTGACCATATGTACTCCTGGAATTATGAAGTTAAAAAAGTAAGAAGTGACTAGAAAATTAAATGGTGTAGCTCAACAATAAGTTGTTGGTCAAGTGAAGGAAGAACCGTTGAAAATCGTCGTCGGTCCAAATGGTTAGAGTTTTAGAACCTACTAGCTCATGCTACTATCATTGTGTCACTTATAATTTCCTGTCCTTCATTGGTGTCATATGTTAATCCTCTTATGTTCTGGAAAATAAGACGTTTACTTTGTACATATAGCATGCTACATTGAGCAACAATTTGGTGAAGGCATTAGTGTTACAGTTTATATGCAGTGTCGATGGATTCACATTCCACCCTCCACCTTTTGTCCGTCGGTTTATGGTAGCAGTTAGCATGGCGTATGATCATTTTCATCCTTTTCGCTCAAGCATGTCTCTCAACTACTCAAGGATGAAGCTTTCTACTATATGTCAAACATGTTGTGCATCGAAGAAGTGGTATAGCGCATCAATCTACATTAATGTTGACTAGTTAGAAAAGTAATGAGATCTTAGTGGTAGGGCCTAGGCCTCTTAGTAGAGTGATAATGCGGTCTCATAAAGAACAATAAAGAGTTTGGTTTTTGAAAGGGCGGGCTCTTGTGACAAGTGGTTGGACACACTGCTTGTAGAGAGCGGTGGATCAGACTCATAAGGGGCAGGGGCAGGGGCAGGGGCAAAGCTCGATGTGGGTCACAAATGAGAGAGATTATTAGATATTACATGTGTGAGAATCTCACATGGGATATAAAAAGAAGTAAAAGTCTCATAATATACTATGAATAGATTCACTACTTCTATAAGCTTAAACTTCTAAGTGGGTATAAGTTTCAGACATGTATATTGAATTTTGGATCATTGGGCTCTTTGTTCTCTCAACATGTCTATTTTCTTCCTTTTTGTAAGTTTTATTACTCCTCACCCCTTTAATTAGGAACTTGCCCAAACAGTTTGATTTTTACCACAAAGAAGTTAGAAATATTCACATACTTTTGTTTTTAAAGAGATTATTGTGTTTCTATTGTTATGTGTCCCATGTCTTTTCTAGATTTTTTGTCCCACTCTTGAGCTTGTATTTGTAATATATATGTAAGGGTAGAACCCTCTACTTACATGCAAGGGCTTATATGCGAGGGGAGAAGACGACTCTTAGTCGATGTGGAACGAAACTCTTGCAGGCACTGAGAGGTAAAGGTTACTGGGGGGTCGCCCGCGTGGATTAACCCAGGTCAAGCTGAAATCCTTAGTAGAGAGTTCTACCCCTTACAATATATTTTCATTTTTCCGAATAATTTTTTTTACTTATCTAGAAAAAGAGAAATATATATTATTTACACGTGGAAACTTTCATTTCATGATCCATGTAAGTCTCTCTCTCTCTCTACACACGCACACTAAAGGGGATCCAACCTGAAAGCATCAACTAGTAGAAGTATTGTAAATTCTCATCTGTAAACTCAATTCAGAGGGTGCTGCACCTGCTTAGAGTAATATAAGCATAAAAAGGGATTCTATTAATTAGTGGCGAGGACTCATGTCCAGCAACAGATGAGATAAGTCATGGGCTGTGTAGCATTAGTGTTCTACAAAACTATTTTTAGTATCATATTTATTCGTTGTTCAATGAGTGCATGACACATACATGTAAAACCATTTTACCAAATTGTTTCAATTTATTTTATTATTTTTTGTGATCAATGACTAAATATAACTAAAACCGAAATGTAGCCGACAATAATTTTGGGGCACAACATTTTCACTAAGGGTGTTAATCGTGTCGTGTGACTCACATGTCGTATTATTTATGTTGTGTTATTGTTATTCGTGTCAAGACCCACGAAAAAAAAAATTATTTATTATGTTCTGAATATTAAACATTAATTTAGACTACTTATTATGCGTATTTAATAATCATGTCAATGTTATAATCATTTGTGTCGAATTCACGTCAATGGGTTAGAGCTGAGACCCTAATTTTAACCTCAAGCTTTACCCCCAAAAAAAAAAACATTTTAACCTCAGGGAAAGTTCTTTCTCGTCACCATCCGTACGCTTTTGAGCCTAGAGGAGGTAGCAAATGATCTGCCAAAAGAAAAGAACGATTTGTTAGCACAAATTTCCTTCTAAAGTTGGTTGAAGCAATAGGTTAGGATAGGCTTCTCATGTATTCATTCTTTCAAACAATGATCCCACGAAGTCTCTGGTAGGACAGATTTGACAAGTGACCAACTTGTTCAGTGACAGGACAATGACAATTCCTAAAGCATTTGAGTATGGAGATTTTGCCTTGCCCATTAAGGGAGTTAATAGCATTTTTAGTGGCTGTTTAAATGGAAAAGTGCCTTCTTTCACTTTACACCCTATGCTTTAGAGTTTATTGCAGTACCAAAACACTATTTTTGATAACATATTTATAGTGCCATGTACTTTCTTTTAGAGTTTCATTTATTAGTTATATAAGGTGACATACCTATTTTTTAATTAAATCTTTCATGATTCGTGTGTGAATTTTTTCACATTTTCTTTCTTATTTAGCGACTCTTTAAATTACATGTTTTTAACGTACATCAATAATTTAAGTGATTTTTTTGTTGGCTCTCTAGTACTGCTTTTTATTCTTCGGGATGGCCTAGTTATCTGTTTGTTCGGTCCTATCTTTTGGTTGCTTGGGCATCATTCCATCTCGGATTTTTAGGAATAACCTAGCTATCTTTTATTCAGATAAGGCTTCATCCCCACAGGATAACGTTTTCCTTCATCCAAATTCTAATTTCACTAGGTCTCTTTCTTAGGCATACTTTGTCAAGCATTACTCAGTAGTGCTCGGGAATGTTTTGACCGAGCATATGCCAAGTCGTTTAATTGCTTGGTTATGACAAAACGAATCAACCATTTTAGCACGTGATCCTGCCACCAGTCTTAGTATAGCTATTACATCATGGTCAGAGACTCCG